GGAGTTAGGAAAACAGTGAGAGTTAAGACAGATGGAGACTATTTGGAGAACAAATAGCAAAGACTGAGGCTGGGGAGATGGCTCAGTAGAGTAAGAGCTTGACTGGTAAGCACAACGGTCAGAACTCAACACCCGGTGTGCAAAAAAAAAAAAAAAAAAAAAAAAAGCAAAGATTACAAACTTTAATATTCGTTTAAAAGCAATGATGAGATTAATAACACATTGTTAATATTTTCCCAGGTTAAATTTTTTTTTGTGGTATCGGAGATTGATGGCCTCATGCATGTGAGGCAAGTGCTTTATCACTAAGCTAGTCCGTCCCCAGTCCAACATTTCATTTTCTGGAGGCAGATGTAAAACGGTAATTTTTTTTTTAAATGTAAAGATTTGATAATTCAACATTTCACAATAGAATCATAGCTTTTATGCTGTCAAGTCCCAGACGGTAATGTGTTTTTAATTTCAACTTCTACTTGTGTACTGACGGCACACAGAGAAGCATTTGACTTGTATATTAACTTGTATTTTGCAAATTTGCTGTTATCATTTATTAATTCTAAGAGCTTTTTGGTGGAGCTATTTCAGGTCTTTTATGCATAGATAACCATGCCATCTATGAAAGGAGATAATTTTAACTTTCTCCCAGATTGTGCATCTTTTCTTGTGTGACTGTATCAGCTGAGACTTCTAGTGCTCTGGGAGGCTCCCACGTGCTGTAACTGACACATGTTCCTTACTCTAAATGGCAGAAAGCTGGCACTTTTATTCCCATCACAACAGACTGTGGCCTGACTAATTAAAATCTGCTTCTTAGGACCACTGTGGTGTACTCACTCCGCACTAACTAGAGATCCTTTCCAAGGTGCTCTAGGCTGCCTTACTGTTGCCTCCACAGAAGGTTCAGACAGGACTTGCTTACTGTCTCCCCACCAGCATGGAGTGGGAGGGCAAGCACTGTGCCTGGATGTTCTCAGAGTCCCCAAGGACCCCACAGGCAGCACATGGTAGGTGCTTAGTGAATATGTGCTAAAGAATAAGTGGGTAGGCCTGTGGGAAAGGTAGGTTTTCAGATGACAACCTTTTAATTTAGAAGGCATTTGAAGGACAAATGATTAGAACAGCGAGTCAGTTATAGGCACAGAGAGGGCTTTCAGGGGGAAGTGATAAGGGACACAACAGGCAATGCACAGAATTAACGTAAATTTTTTTTTTGGAACCGGGGATCAAACTCAGGCCCTTGCGTTTGCCAGGGAAGCACTTATTCTACTGAGCCATCTCCCTGGCCCACCCACAAATGTTAAATAAACAAGAAAGGCCATTCTCTCTCACGATAAACAATGATCCCTTTCTTACCACCAGGTTGTATCTACCAGGTTGCAAACATTTTGAATGGTGCAGGGCCTCTGCACTCAGCTATATCCTCAGCACTTTTTTTTTACTGTGAGACAGTCTTTCTAAGTTGCTAAGGTAACCTGGCTGGGCTCAAATGTTATCACCTCTTGCCTTAGCCTCCCGTGTGCTGGGATTACAGTGTGCCACAATATGCCAGCAAAGACTTGAAAGGACAGAAGCACACACCTAATCCGTAACTCTACAGCAGTGAGGGCACCGTGCTCTCTGCTAAAACCGAGTATTCTGGGCCACATGTGTGGCCCTAATAAGTAGCAGAGGTGTGTGTTGGGGAAGACACTACCAATTAAATCAGAGGCTAAGGGATAGTTCCTCTGGGGATACTCCTCCAGCACGGGTCAGTGCTCTCCCTGGGCCTCCATGTGCTTCAATGACAGCATATGAAATGTGGCCCTGCTGAGTGGAGACCACTGTTTAGGATAGTGACAGCTAGAGTGCTTCAAGAATTGGCAAGGGCAATTTAGAAATTTGGTTATCTTTTTGCTGCTTGTTGCAAGAGTGATCAACTCGGGATAGAACTAAACTGTTAGGTGCAGAGATGGAAGAAAGAAGCAGCTCTGCTTAAGGGTGGGAGCTTACAGCCTGTAATATAAGTGGATGGAAAAATCTCATAGTTAGGATCTTTCTGGACCTCAAAGGCCTACTGCTTCAGTGGTAACTTAAAGCAGTTCTAAATTTTAAGAGATAAGACTGATGCTGGCAACAAGGGATTTAAAGATGCTGTCTTCTCTATGTCCACTGTTTCAGAAACCTTCAAGGTCAGTAAGTGAAGAATGTGGCTTTTGGACTTAAAAGTCATGACAAAGACAAGATCTTTTGTAAAGGGAAGGGGACCTAGAGGTCGAGGGAGGGAAAGCAAATGAAAAAGGGAATCATGATGTGTTACATGCACCTACCCACAAGGAGTATCATTATGTACAGGAATTGAACTCAGGACCCTGTGTGTGCCAGGTAGGCACTGTCCTACTAAGCAATATCCCTGGGCATGGTGGCACACACCTGTAATACCAGTGTTTGGGAGGCTGAAAACAGGAGGATCACTACAAGTCCAAT